AACTTTAAGATGCCTGAAAGAAATTTCGCCACAATATTTTTACCTTATCCTATGCAAGGCTACGCCACGGCCACTTTTGGCAAACGTAACGGAATTGAGATCGTTCCCATCCTTGATTTGGTGTTGCTAAGATTGAATGGTGGGGTTTTGGACCAGCCTTACTCTCAGGAAGATATGAGTTGTTCTCAAAAGTTTTTGAGCTATCAACCTCTGAGCAATATGAATGCACTATGTTTTGTGCATTTGAGCTATTATTACGCAATCAAATGGTCATCCACACTCGTAATAGTGCAACTATTCCGTAAGGTATATGTTGTTCCTATCTATTCTTCTATTCAGATATTCTCCGCTCTCTACGAATTAACCCCTGTTGGTCAGTGGACCGAATTACTCTATCGTCTATCCGAAAGCTATGTGGATATGCTTGCGTTTGCCGTTATCGGACCAATCACACAAATCCTTATTGTTGAAGGTGAGTAAAGATTTTTTTGAACCATATATTTACATTTTATAGAAATTCCAGGGCGGAAGAACTATGTGCTGCAAATTTCGGTGCGTGATTCGGAAGTAGTTAGTCGTCATCGTTTAGCAGTATGTGAACGACCTGGTGCGATGGCTAGGGATGAAGCAGGTTGGGAGATATGTGTGTTTGACTTGATTTTGGTTTTATGAATGAACTGACATCTTCTTTTGTCAAAGATGAATAATAGGGGATAGATCCCAGCTTAGCAGGATCATCCGTGTTGCTACTGTTACTGCCGAAATGGCCCCAATGTCAAATTCATTGAGGTCCTTGACCAGCTTTTGCATTTTTGCTCTGCCTGAGAAGCAGATATTTGACTCGCTTTAACAATTCGCAATAGTGCATACATTGATCATTACAGGACAACTAGCACAAAAGTCCGGATAACGTCAACTTTTTTCTTTTCAGGACGTCTTTTTGTTGCAAACCGCTCTACTGCCACTATCCAACTCGTTGACACTGTACGATGGTCCTGTGCACGTAATGTTGCGCTAACAGACTCAATGGTGCCGCATTTTTCGGCATCCTGGGGATTACTGGCTATTCCTCTTAAGGGTGCTATTCGTCTACATCGATATTCATTTCGCTTTGGACACAAATAGAAGCAGAATGTAAAAATAAATAATTTATGAATTAGAATAAGCTTCAGTTGGATGTCATAGAAGGAGTAGAACCCTTATAAGCATTTTTTAAGAGGAAAAAACAAGTTAAGCGAATTAACGAAATCCTTAAAATGAAAGTTTTGGAGAAAACATTGGAAGAAAAGCCGAATAGGAATGGAAGCAAAGGAATTTGAAGAAGACGTGAGCAAAGGAGATTAATAATAGGTATCTGTAAGTTTAGAAAATGAAAGTAACTTCAAATACAGAAGTAAAAAGTGACTACAGATAAGAAAGAGGGTGAAGTTCCTCCAGCAAAGCTCACCTCAGGCGGAGTCAAGCGAACTCACCCCGAAGTATGCAAAGAGCAGAAGAACAATTGATGCAGGACCTCATGCACAACTGCTTACTAATTTAGAGCAAGGTACGGGAGCACTCTCGTCATCCCGTAGATCTCTTCAAATTTCTCCGGGTTTCTCCCTATTTCCGGTATTTGTTGGTCCCAAAGAGAAGAATATGTGCAATTAACGTGCGAAAGCTGGAAATTCATAGACCCTTCTAGAAGTCAGGAATGACCTCAAACACGTTGCGTCATGTGAATGCTGTTCACATGTTCACTTTTATGTAAAACAACGAATCTAGCTCCTCAATTTGTTGGAGATATAGGCATGAGAAGGAAGAAGAATGTAGAAAATAAATGAAGTGTTAGGTTTGCTTTATTTTCCATTGGTTACTGTTTGAAAAAAGCATTGCTCCCGATGCGTTGTTTTGAACCAAGAAAATATGATTATTCCCTCTTATCAGCTACCTAGTATGTTAAAAATCACCTTCACTTTTTGCAGCGCTCCTGAGTTAAAGTCACTATCACCTTTGTTGTCTTGTCTCTGGAGTATCGAACCTATGGTCTCGTGTTCTTTCTTGTTCACTTTCAATGGTCATGTTCTCGCTACCTTCCTTTACCTCATCCTGATGATAGCAGCTAGTACGTATGTTGAGGAGTTTAAGCTATTCACTTACCGTTGTCGCAAGATACCCAATCGTCGTTACAATAAATCAGCGTAAGAAGTCGTGACAAGCGAACTTCTGATGCCCAGTCAAAGTTTGGGATGTTACCTTGTGCTTTTTACCTTTCGAAGTGAATGAAGATAGAAGATGGTATTCAATTGTGTCATAACAACCCAAGGTGTTAACTGACGATCCGACAAATTGTCTCTTGAGGACTTGAATCTAGCAGAAAGTGCAAAAATGCGTTCTAGCACCACATTCTATCTTTCAGGATTTTTTCGGTGATTTCCGTCGCCAGATTCCCCAATTAGCTTGAACTGTTCACTTGGTAATTTCTGCCATATACTGTATCACACTTAAAGTTGTGATTGTCGCCGTATTCCGTTTTTACACTGATAGAAGCAAATTTGACGACAATCTTATAATGAGCTGCGAAAATCTTAAAAATCTGAGCCAAACAAAACATTTCTTGCATTAAAAAAACATTTATTTTTGTCAAAAAGTTACAAAAGAAGAAAGAGTAAACAAGTACGAAAATAGTTGCCGTCCTTTTGATTAATATATTGTTTACAGAGCAAATAACAGCTGTTCTATGCGATATCTTTCTTAGAAGTGGCTGTCAACGTTTCATGCTAAACAATCTAATACCTTTTGTTATTTCACTAAGTTCTACAACTGGATGAGCAATACGTGTTCTTTAAATGTTAAAACAGAGTCAAGCGATCAATCAAATAATCCAATCATAATTAACTGTCATAGCAATCAAGCAACTGAAGAGAGTAACAACGTGAGAAAAGATGTTCAGCTGAAATGAAGAAGTTGAAAGAAGGCAAGAAAAAAAACAGAAATAAAAGTACTCTTTCATTAGAAGTGAAAAATACAAAATTGAGACCTTTGTCATCCTGTGCAGAACACCTGAAAGTGCAGCAGTGTTTACTTCTGCGGGAGAGCGGGGCAAAGAGATCATTCAGAAAAAATTACGAAGTTGAATAGATAGGATAACGACAAAATAAACAATAGGTGGAACTTTCAAACCAAAAAAAAGCATCTTTCAAAACGATAAAGAGAGAAATAGCAGTTTGCTAAGAAACAACCAAAAAGAAATTAAAAACTCTATAACAGGTCTCTCAAATGACTCACAAGCAACTTTCGTGGTGGACACATCAATAAACAACAACAATTCTTAACATCCGAGCCAACACGAAGCTCTCCATCAAAAATTTGCGATAAATGCTTCATTGGAGGGTTTCCAGGTCAAACAGAGTTCTTGCTATCTATATGAGCCTATAGCTTACAATGTGAAAGATATAACATGGGAGAGCTTCCTCCTCCTTTTGCTTCCTTTCTTGAATGCTCAGTATGCACCTTCCCTGAATGCTTTCTGCTCCAAATTGTTCGATTATACTTTTCACAATTCGAGGGTTTATTTTATTTTCCTGCGCGTCTTTTAGTATACCAACTCGCTACCGTTCAACACTCGCTATGGTTCTTTGCTTAGAGTGTAATCGCTCAAACATATGGTCACATTCCAAAGTCTCGCTTTCCGTTCATTTTTTCTCTCAAGATGCTGTAAAGTACATTCGTGTCATATCATTACTTATAATAAAACGCTAATTTGTCTGTATGTGTGTGTGTTTCTCTGTCTGTCACGAAATTAGTTCATTTGTCCTAAGAAAGT